GGCCCCTTTACTTTCAGTGCAGCAAACTCAGTCCAGAAGTTCAGTGAGGATCTTTGAATGATCCAATGTTGTCCTAAATGACTGATGATGATAAATAGAATGCACCTGTGTGTAATCAAGTCTCCGTATAAATGCACCTGCTCTTTGATAGTCTCAGGGTTCTGTTTAAAGCGCAGAGAGAACCATGAAGACAAAGGAACACACCAGACAGGTCCGAGATACTGTTATGGAGAAGTTTAAAGCCGGATTTGGATACGAAAAGATTTCCCAAGCTTTAAACATCTCAAGGAGCACTGTGCAAGCAATTATATTGAAATGGAAGGAGTATCAGACCACTGCAAATCTACCAAGACCCGGCCGTCTCTCCAAACTTTCATCTCAAACAAGGAGAAGACTGATCAGAGATGCAGCCAAGAGGCCCATGATCACTCTGGATGAACTGCAGATAACTACAGCTGAGGTGGGGATGGTTTGTTCAGGGTGATGAGCTGTGTTGCTTTTACGCCAAACATATCGTTTTGCATTGTGGCCAAAAAGTTTGATTTTGGTTTCATCTGACCAGAGCACCTTCTTCCACATGTTTGGTGTGTCTCCCAGGTGGCTTGTGGAAAACTTTAAGAGACTTTTATTGGATATCTTTGAGAAATGGCCACTCTTCCATAAAGGCCAGATTTGTGCAGTGCACGACTGATTGTTGTCCTATGGACAGACTCTCCCACCTCAGCTGTAGTTATCTGCAGTTCATCCAGAGTGATCATGGGCCTCTTGGCTGCATCTCTGATCAGTCTTCTTCTTGTTTGAGATGAAAGTTTGGAGGGACAGCCGGGTCTTGGTAGATTTGCAGTGGTCTGATACTCCTTCCATTTCAATATAACTGCTTGCACAGTGCTCCTTGAGATGTTTAAAGCTTGGGAAATCTTTTTGTATCCAAATCCGGCTTTAAACTTCTCCACAACAGTATCTCGGACCTGCCTGGTGTGTTCCTTTGTCTTCATGGTTCTCTCTGCACTTTAAACAGAACCCTGAGACTATCAAAGAGCAGGTGCATTTATACGGAGACTTGTTTACACACAGGTGCATTCTATTTATCTTCATCAGTCATTTAGGACAACATTGGATCATTCAAAGATCCTCACTGAACTTCTGGACTGAGTTTGCTGCACTGAAAGTAAAGGGGCCGAATAATATTGCACGCCCCACTTTTCAGTTTTTTATTTGTTTAAAAAGTTTAAATTATCCAACAAATTTCATTCCACTTCACGATTGTGTCCCACTTGTTGTTGATTCATGACAAAAAATTAAAATTTTATATCTTTATGTTTGAAGACTGAAATGTGGCAAAATGTTGAAAGGTTCAAGGGGGCCGAATACTTTCGCAAGGCACTGTATGTATATTATATATACATATATATATATATATATATACAGGGAAGTCATTTGGCTTATGCTAAAGAAGAGAACCACAGCATTGATTTGCTGCACATGGTACAGGAGTGTGAGGCAGGAGAAATGCTTCACTCACACATTTCACACCAGTGTTGGTTTATAAACGCTGTTGTGACAGCTTGGGTATTAGGACACACATAGTTGGAAAATGAATGTCATGTGACTAAGGTGACGGCTCCCACACAAAAAACACTCCACCTCCAACAATTAAGCCGTTGTCAACCCCATCCAGTGTTGTGAGTGATAAAGGAAAGCTGTGAGGATAACTGCTGATAAATACACTCTTGCAGTCTTCTGCTCTCATATGCTTAACTAATCATGACCATGGCCAGCAAATTCATACAAAAGACTAATTACTCTAGTACTTCACCTAAGTCTCTGAGGCCTCTTGTGTAAGGACTTGGGGGTTATTTTGCCTCTTTTCTCCCCTTGATGATATTTTTACAAGTAGGCCTCTTGCAAGACAAAAGCATTTAAAAATGGGTGATTGCTTTCATCCGCTTTAATTACATTCAGAAATGGCATTTCTGCCACATAATATACCGCCATTGTTTCAGAATTATCTGGCTTGGGGAAGAAAATCTATGTTTGACGATGCTCCTGAGCTAAATCGCCTCTTGAAATTGAAATATGCAGTGGAAATGCAAAATAAAAGCCAGCCTCTGCTGCTGATATACTGAAAGCTTCTTGGCTTTTTGCAGAATGCTATTATTATGCATATCCAGGTAGAAAGTTAATTAACCCAAAGCTTAAGCTAATTATGGTAGCAGAATGCTATCAACCAAACGCTTTCAGTCAGACAGCTGTCCAGAATTTCATTTGCTAATCATTTGTCTTTTGCCGGAGCATATGGTACATTTCGCCGCTATCAGAGCAACAACAAACAGATGAAAATCATTAACCAAAAACAATGTGAAAAATTAGACACAGATTTATAAGGCTTTGTGTCAAGAGAAAAAAAAGAGGGATTTATGGTCTGGGAAATGTACTGATAATTTTAGGTTTAGCCACTTTTAGGCACTTCACGTGATGCGAAAGTGCTGGGAATTTGGATGCACATATACATTGTTTACATCTAAATGCAAATGAGATGCAATGCTTTTTGTTAAATTAATTACTATTTAAAGAGGCAAGAAGCAAACCCTTTACCATTTTAGCTTCTGGTATATTATGTATTTCTATATTTTTTCCGGAAAAAGTAATCCCTTTGTGCTGCCACAGATAAATTATTTTCTAAGAAATGTTTCATGCATTGTTCTTTCCTTTTCATAAAAACATATCATAGGGCTGTTAAAGGGTGATTGATATCAGCCTTGCCGAGCGACATTATCAAGCAATAAAGGCTACTCAGGTTCTAATGCAACATGTCATGCACAGCTCAGTTGTACACTTCTGTTGAGGACCTCACAAGCTAAATTGCTTTTTTCCTGCTCCCCCACATCTTAGCCAGCGTGACAGACAAATTGATCAAAGCATTGTAAAATAATATGCTCACAAAATGTCTCGGGGCAGGAGTCCAGCCTTTTTTCATTTTTCACCATAATAAAAAAGTGCTCCATGATTTCTTTTGTATTATGTCTTTATGAAAGAGGCAGAAAGCATCATATTTCAGATAATAGTAATCTCCTGTAAACAAAATGTGTATCATTTTTCTGTGAACACGGTGGACATGCTAAAAGCAAAGGCAGCCGGTTGGTTAACATGAGGCTGGTACTGAGGGCCCCAACAGGGGTTGTTGAGATGTAATGAATTTGTTCATCTGATGGTGCCTTCAGGGCTGTCGTTAGACTGGCAGAGGATGTTGATTTCAGGAAATGTTCCTAAGATCAGTTAGGAAGCAAAAAGGGCTTGAGACGTTTCTATTAGAAAGAGCTGACGGTCATGGTGTGTAAGCAATACTTCAAGGGCGTTTATGTGGCTATAATGGCATTTATCAATAACTATCTATCAATGCCATGAATGTTTGTGTTGCCAGCACAGCTGCTCGACACCAGCCAATAGTGCGTGTGAAAGAACACAGAGGACAAACGCGGTGCCGTGAGCCTTTAAAGCTCCAGTTGCTCACAAACACCTGCCATAGGTCTCCTTCATGCTCTGCATAGAAGAGGTCTATTTTTCTTTTATCCAAAATATGCACTTAGAGATCATACATCATTGTGACTCCTTAAGCCAAGCCCACACCTCAGCCTGAGCTGGAGATAGCCTTGTTTAGTATGTCATAAATAAATCGATCGAAAGGGCTGATCTGAACTACATGTATTACTGCCACACGCAGGCTTTGGTGAGATCTACATGTAAAGCTGCTTGCACAGATAAGCCTATATTTTGTCACTTTATCTCGCCTCCCTTAATGCCTGTTTACATTTGCGTTACTCCATATATCTGTGACAGCTCTAGCCCCATTCCTGTGACAATAACGCAATATTCAACTCGCCACGGTAAAACTGCAGCATTTCATCAAATGATTTCCTGCTCACACCTTTGAGAACATACAGACAGGGATGTGATCCGAGCTTCACTTATGACCGACATAGCAAATGATATTAAACTGAGAAATGATCTAGTGATGCGAATCATTAAATTCATTTGCATATTCCTACTGAACCTGAACACACAAATTAAACCCCGTTCACGAAGAGATGGAGAAAGGTGCTCGCAAATGGTTACAGGACATCTTCCATAATCAAAATTCCATATTATTAATTCTCTTCCTTCAACTCATTAACAACAAGTGGAATGTTTTTACTGCTTGATGAATTTTTGGAAATAGCCCACACTTCAAGATGAAACACATGTTGAGGTGTAATATACAAGGTCATTAATGGGTTTCCATAAATTAGAATTTCAACATACATTTTCAGAAGGATAACTCGCATGCTTCCTAACCGGGTGCATGTGAAAATGGTTTAATTTCCCAAACCATTCAAGTTTATCAGTGGTGAATCTGTGATACATGGTTTTTTTAATTTCAATCAAATCAGAACTAATCTAAAATGTAAGATGTGGACCTAGAAAAATAAGAGAAAAAAATCATATTAATGCTGGGTTTAATCAATTTCAATCGCTTCAGTAAAAATGTCAGCGTTGTGACAATCTTGAAGGATGAGTAGTGCTGAAATGCAATCACACAGTACATTTGTGAGTGCTGCTGACATTTTCCACTCCTGCATACAACTCACAGGCAACATAAATAAACAGGGGGACAGTCCACGCTCCCTATGGCCTTTGGTGACCCTATAGACATCAACTTTAATCATCTCCCTTGTGGGTAATAAACAAGTTATTTTTCTGAAATTTCAAATATACTGCTGGAAGAACCACAACCACATGCCATCAGAAATCTAATTTCAAGCCCAACTGTATTCTAGTGCCCCTCATATTTCTAGTGCCGGCTCATATTTGCCCAACTTTCTCCAGGATATTTCTTGTGGGATCTACAAAAATGCCCTGCTTCCAATGAGGAATGGTGGCACTCCATCACAGCAGTGGATTCTGTCTGCCTGTAAATTTCACACCTTTGTTTATCACGTCAGCGGCCGGCTGTTGTACAGTACCTTTCAGCAGGTGCGACATCCATTAGGATCCGGATGGTGTGCACACCATTCTCACATCCACTGACTTGGATCTTCCCCAGGGGGCTCAGCAATGAGATGGTCTTCTGAGTGCACCAACTCTCCCTCAGCTTCTTCATCTCTCAGCCCTGCTAAGGAAGCACAAATTACAGCGCTTTCATTGACATATTCATGTGGTAACTGCGCTCAGACTTTCCCACACACATTTGCATTGAATGATCTATTGAAAACCAGCGGGCCACCAACGACTGATGACTTACATATTTGAACACCTAGCCTCCAAACAATGTCATGATGTGACTTGATCCCAACATTACTATCCAATATTTCTTTTGTGCATGGAAAAGAATACGCCTATCTAACCAATAAATCGCCCATTTTTTCCCCTCTTTCTGTTCTATATATCACATAAATGAGAAAAACAATGCAGTCTGTTCCCTTGTCTGGTGGGGGATTCCCAAGATAGCTCGACATTATTTTCAATCCGTCATTTTTGGTTGATGGCCGGGATGTTTTTCTAGCATTAAATTTGTTCCTTAGGGTGCAACTCCGATGGGATTCTGGTTTCCAGCCCTTAACAACAGCAAAAACGTGCAGCTTTTCTGACGACTGAGATGGATACTGGCAATAACCAGACAGCAGTTCCTTTTTTATTTTTACTTTGAGGGAAGGAAGGATGATTGACTATGTTATATGTGAGTTTTTGAGAGATGGGGGTTATAATAAATAAAGGTCACATTGATTGCAAGAGTTCCGAGAAACCTTTTCTTCATGAAACCTTGATTTTAAAAAAATGGGTAAAGGGCACAAAAATAAGATCCATACTTTTAACTCTTTCATAATAATCACGAATGAACTGCCATTGCAAACAAATGCGCAATGCCTGCATACTAATTGTCAAATTAGCATTTCTATCACTGCTATTGAACATAAAAAGCTTTGCAGTTATAGTAGTTGACAACAATAACATCAATATAGATGTCTATAAAAGAGCTATAAATATGACATACAAATCTACAAAATTATGTCCCCTCTTTATTAATATCTCAAATTATTCTAAACACATTCAAAGTGTAATAAAACGTGAAATAAGCATACCAGGAGATCATTGCATACTAATGGATCAGATTTGATTATTCTCATAACATTTCACAGTGCTTGATTATGAGACAAAACAGCAGATAATTGTATGTCTAAATTTAGTCTGTTTGTCTAAAGATTACAGTATTTCTTTGAGAGAGGGGGGAAAACAAAGGTTATGTGTTAAAAGTAGTCATGCATTTACTGTGCTTTAGCTCTACCCTTCACACACCAGCAGCACATCTGTCATGGTACGCGATCACAAATGCGTCAACATGCCTCAACTTTCTTGTTCCTACTTTTGCAGCTCTCACTGTATTCATCAGGGGTTTGCCTCAACTGACAATAAAGGCGAGAAATTTCGGAGCCAAACAATGCTACAGTGCACTTTGGATAAGCAGGGCACTCTCCTGTCTGCCGTTTAGCAAAGGTGGAGTCACGGACCTGCAAATAGAAAAAAAGATGTGTGAGATGCGTTGAATTAAAAGGAATATTTTATCATTTGTAAGACAATAGTGTCATTTTATCATATTTGTCAGTAATTGCTACATGCAGTTTAGAAAAGCACCAGAGACTCAAAATGAGGACAGTGAAAATTAGTTTCTAACACCTTTTATTTACATTGAACCGCTTTCATTTATATGTGTGGTCTATGGGGAATTTTTACTACGAGAAACCACACTGACATTTAAGTACAGATACACAGATGTGTTGTCACTTGTTAACTTATAAGGTGATGGACAAATATTTCCATCCCTGACATAATGAGACACGAACTCTTTGAGAGAAAAAGTAAATGTTGTTATTTTCACTTGCATATAATTTGATGAAAGAAAAACTACATAACGTAAAATATATATATAAAATACAGATGCAAAATGAAAAGTGTGGTGATATACAGTCCATGGTTATGACTTATTGAGTACAATCATACAAAATAGCATGTACAGGCAAAGTTGTAAAAGAATGAGCAATAAAATATTAATTTGTTACATCTGTCTGTCACAATTTGTATAATAAGGATAGAGTTCGTGATTTATAGCCTGTCTGTCCGTGGGAGCGAATCGCACTCTCAATGTGGGCCTCCAAGGTTTTTTCCCCCCACTGTTTTTCTTTCTTGTTGATGCAGAAGGGTCTAAAGACAGTGATGAGCCTGAACATTTAAGAACATTTATGGGCATTGGTCATCCAGCTCCCTATGGACCAATGCTCCTTTGTTATGATTATATTTCCTGTGTTCCAACTGTTTGATTCTCTAATCTGTTGTTGGAAAATCGAAAACTTTATAAAGTCCTCTGAGACGACTGCTGTTGTGATTTAGGGCACTACACAAGTAAATGGATAAATTATTTAAAAACAGTAATTACACAGTCATTCTTTCTCAGGGGTGGGACTTGAGACTTAAGTTTTGACTCGGTAATTGTCAATGTTCAAGTATTCATAATAGAATATACAATTCCAAAATATTTATTGTAATTTGATTGTATATTTTTTTAATCGTAAGTGGCAGTGTGATAACTCAATAACCTGCACCTACAGCAGCGTGTGTGACGTGGGGATATTGTGAGCACGCTTGCACCACTTCTCTTTTGACTGCTCACGGATCCTGTTTGGATATTTGGATGTTTACCGAGCTCTTCACGGTAAGGGACAGCAAACAACGGCCAGCTTGTGTTGTTAAAAGTCATTGGCATCTTGGTCACCCTCTTCAATCATCGGACTATTTCTCATTAGCGCGGAAACCAGTCAAACCTGTGCCTGCTTAATTAACTCGAAAGCGCAGGTGTGAAAATGCAACACGTGTCCGCTCCGCTAACGCTTTCATGCTAATTTATCACTGGCTACGGAAAATTAAAAACGGCACATAAAGTTAATTATTGTGAATAGCGCGGTTAGTAGTTGCTGAATATTTGTAACGTAGCTTGTCTCTTTTATGCCACTAGACCTAGCTAATCATTCCCCTTAAGTTAGCACGTGGAGCTAATTTTCCACATGCTAACTTAAGGTGCCAATCTGGCTAATCACAAAAGACATATTAAAAGTCTTCTATGTGTGTGTTACCTACAGCTAGTGTGGTGCTTCAGAACGGTAGCCTCGTCGCTCTCATCCACACAGCACGCATTTGTTTAGAAAATCTACTTCCTGTTTTTCAGACAGCGTGGCCAAAGAGACCAATCATCAAAGTCCAAAGTCCTCTCCAGACCGTTCATTGGTCAGTGCAGTGTCTCCGCTCCGCCCACTCCGAGGACTGACACAGATGGCCTTTCAAATCGAGCTCATATTGGGATTTGTGGTCCTTGAAGTGGTCTTCAGTGACACAAGGTAGCATTATCCGGCCACACACGCAGCCTGTCTATTTAAAAGTATAATTAGCGGATGTACATCACACATTTAATTTTATATGAAAATTAGAATATTGCACATAGTATTTTTATTACCCAACATAAAAAATAATGACAATGCTTTAATATTACCTTCTTGTTCCCAAATGAAAACCTCCCCATGTATTGATTGTTCAAATATCAAATTATAATTGTCTTTTTAATCTAAAACGGTGAGTGAACAGTTATGTGTAGTGAACCAGAAATAAGTGAATAAATAATAGTAATAAACGGGCTGGCTAACATTTGTTGTGCTTTGTTAAAATGCTCTGCTGTCCTGTGTGGTGGTGGTTGTATTTGGGAGCAGTCCTCAGTTCTCTGCATGTCTCCGTTTGGAGTGTATAGGCCGGCCTGGGCCTCAGCGGTGAGGGTGGGAGCGGGGAGAAACGCCACCCCTGCAGAGACCATTTTGAAATCTGTGAGGATTTCCATGCCATCTGGACCCGCTGCCAGTCTGCCCCAGATAGTAAGGGTTGGCAACGGTACCCGACGGTGCAATATGGCTCTCTCTTTAATGAACTACTAACTGTCCCCCGTTTTAATTGATGTGACATTTGAGCCATTTATCTCTGACATTTCAATGAAGAATGATTCTCAGCCTTGCCATTTACTTTTTTGTGCTATTTTCTAAGAGTCATTTGCATTTTTCTGCTCTAAACCTGCTTTTTGTCTCTCATTAGCTAATTAGAGAGCAACATGCACAATTAATAAAAATGAACATAACCTAGTTTGATATAGGCTGACGAGGATAATCAGAAAATCAGTGTTTTCTTAATATTAATCAAAATACCAGGGGGGTTACCTGTGTTAAAAGGTGACTTCGATAAAGCCTTGTGTAACCTTTGCCCACATACCAATGTAGCCTACAGTGAGGGACAACTTATGTTCGCAGCATGGGGAGAATCAGGCTCAATTAATCAGCATATGATTGCAGTAAGCAGCCCCCTCTGCTGGATCTTCTGAGCCATACTGTTTCAAATGATTTTAATGCTGCTCTATCAGAAGCCAAACAATTATCCTATGTGGCACTACCCAGAGCGGCTTTTGTGTTTGTTCCAGTTTCAGCTTATGAGAAAAAAAGTCTTCCATGTCTAAATCTAAATCCAAATATTTACACATTGCTTTTTTCATTTCAATGGATCATAAGGAAATCCTCTATGGAACATATTATATTTTCACGTTAATTAAAAAAAAAAGTTTGTATTAATATCACACTTTATAAATACATTTTATTATATATATATATATATATATATATATATATATATATATATATATATAATATATATGTATATATTGCTAATCAAAACAGGAAATGTTTAAGCTATTTGTACATAAAAAGATAGCTTAAAATGGACACAATAACTCAATTGTTTTCTATAATGACACATATTCTGAATCTTTTACAGATATCCTTTAAAAACAGTCCTTTGACGACTGTTCCTTTGATTGTGCACGACACCGTTGCCAAGGTGTGGTGCCCTGTCTGAGCTGGCAGCCCGGTTGCTGTCTTTTGTTTGAGACTCAAAGAGCTCTTTTTCCTGTGCAGTTTCCTTCACTATTTTTGTTTGTGAAAAGTGATGATAGACTTATATGTTGCGCTGTTTCCTTTCAGTGTTGCACCAGATGTGTGTGGGAATAACAAGTCCAGGCTTTATGTCATATGTCACAAAGTGTTTATTAGTGGCTCTGTCCATCCAGCTCATGTTTGATATTGCCTCAGATCTAACAGAGCTGTCTCTTTCTGTGTTCAGCATTGTGTTGGCGTGGGAGGAGTTGAAGTCATTTATGATATCAGATATTCTCTTGGAGACTAGAAAAGTCCTGACAGACTGAACAGGCACTCTGCTCTCATAGTGAGTGTGTGAGCGTGCATTATAATCAGACTACTTTATGGGCCTCACACAGTATACCCCGGACGTCCTATACCAGTGCACTGGGTATGTAATATTGTTCATTTCCCTTCATCTGAGTCTGGACTCTGCATGGAAAAGCATCTTGATAAATTTGTCCTTTTTACTTTGACATTTTGTTGTTCCTCCACTCTCAGCAGAATTAGCCTGATCATCACTAAGCCAAACCTCAACCACAAAATATGTGTGTTGTCTCAAGTGCCCACTTATGAAGTGTGCCTGTGCGCCTCTGTCCCTCCATCTCTGATATGAGCGAGCTCTTCTATTTTACTGTTGACATGGTGCTATGAATGTCTGAGCACTTTGCAAATGAAGAGACTTGAACTCCTGACAGGCAGTGTCGCCGGCACCATGACACACTGGCCCGCACATGCTGTGCGGCATAATGATGACATTAGGATCCAGTGATAATATCAGGACGCACTTCAGATAAATGACTGATAAACCAGGGGTTGTGCCTCTCGTATTACACGCTTGACAGAGCAGCTAATCAGTGTCCAAGTGACTGCTATTACATAAATCATGAGCCCGACTTTGATGCATATTCCATCGGTGTTCCCTATTCATCACGTCATCTGGGGGAGACTCTCTGGATGACTGGCTGCCGGGCCAGCACACATTTTAAGAGCACATTATGTTTTCATTAGAATTTGATATGATCCATTCCAATGTTGATTTGATTTCACGTGCTCGGGTCATTTGATATCAAACTACCAAAGAGAAGCCAGTGTTGTCACAATTATAAGAGGCTGTGATTTTCTCCCCTGCTGCCCATAAAGTAAAGGATGACAATAAAATACGTGTTGGTAAGCATGTTTTATGTTAACCTGTGTTGAGGCTTCCCATCAGCCTAGTCTGTGTGCTGCTGTTGCATGTGTACAAACAGAGCAGTGCTAAAGTTGGAGAGACGCCGGGTGCTGAAGTGAGTCGCATGTATGTTTTATTCTCTGGTATTGGGGTCAGAGGATGTGAAGGTGGGGGTGTTAATTTAATCCCCATTCTTACCCAGAGCATGGCCACACTCTCTAAGGAGCTTTATCTCTGACAACTGTGTCAAATTAGAGAGACCACGAGCCCCTCATAAAGAATATGTCTGTCAGACTACATTGTTCCTGGCCTCAGAAATATACGGCCGAGAGAGACAAAAATAGCAGATAACACCGTAGTCCCACAGTTGGACTTGAACATGATGAAATAATTTTCGAGCCATGTGATCCTGTCAGCGAGACGGCCTGCTAATAAAACTGACGCACACCTATTATTTCATACCTTTTGTGCTTGGCTATTCATAGACTTGAGTACAATACCCTTTTTTTCACCGCTACAAAACGACCACTGTACAATTATTTAACCAGCATATGTTAACTGATAAAATGCTTAAGTAGAATTATTAGGTGAACTTTATTGGTTAATTTAGCCTGCTGCTTCTGTAATTGATAGCATTTTTACATTCTATTAGGCATGGTACATAACTCTAGCCGCGGCCGGGTCTGATAAGTGCCCATCATTTATCAGGCGAGTATCATGGCGGCCCCACAGTCAAACATGTAAAACAACTCTTAATGTTCTCCCCAGTCCCCTATGGGTGTTTCCCCTACGGTTATCATCATTGCCTTTCTATTCTTCAGGGACCTTCCTCCCGAGACAACATTTTCATAGACCCCTTGACCCCAAACCATATTTTCCATTTGAATGCTCTGACTTGTGAATATTTACCAGCATGTTTAATGTATAATAGTGGTGTATCAGCACTGCAGCAGCTATTTTCTGCTCAGTCAGGCTGCAACAACTGGCCTTGGTGATTTTTTTCTTTCCCTTTCCTATTGCTTGAGGTTAATATTGACCCCTCTTAAAAAACAAAATGACCCAGCCCCTCATTTAGGGCCAAGTAGTATGCATTCTACTAGTCCTGGGGGCATACATGTTTATAACAAGGAAAGCATGGGGTCTCGAATGTAAACATCTTAGCACTGTAACATTATTGTATCAGCCGACTCCCAGAAGGTGCAAGATTTAATAATGTGGGTGGATTATATAAGAGAGAGAAATAAAGCAGTAATTTGAAATTGTTTGGGGACCTTTTTGTGTCAATGGTTATGGAGGCTAGGGGACAATTCGGCTCCCTCAGGCCAACGGTTAAAAGGCAATGACTTTTCTTGTACATGCAGCATTTTGGAATCTACATGCATTAACCAGCGCTGAAAGGCCTTTTATCATGTGATTAGTAATACATAATACATTTGATTCTATTATCTGTGCGGAGTAGGGATGATGAATGAAAGAGGAGGGACACGTTGGTGATGCACAGTGGCACTTGAATATACATTGAATACAACGTTCGAGTCTCAGAACACAAGAGCTGGGGTTTTTAATCTGCTTCTCAAGCCATGAAAGTCCCAGTAATTGCGATATTTCCCTTTTTGTTTCAAGGACCTTTGATGATCCCCTGGCTTGCATCAGAGGGCAAAGTCATTAGTGGAGAAATGAGCTCAAGTGAGGAGAAAGAGATTGCGCGGCTCCCAGCGTGATTGGAAAACTTTGCCTAACGCTGCATCCTAATTTGAATGTGATGTCCAATGTGTATATATACACATATAAACACCAGTGTGTATATACTACTAAAACTATAATAAAACTTAAACCTTAAGTTGGGCCTTGCTTGAATTGTCATTTTTGTGTGTGAAACTAGGATTTCGAGTGGTCACTTGCTGAATGTCCTCGCCATTTCCCCAAAAAATAGTATTTTGTATGAAAACAACTTTTCTCATTGAGCAAATCAAGTTTTAAAGTCTTGACTCTTCTGTGAATAAAACACAATTTAAATTATTACATATTATTTTATTATTTTAAAAAGACCAATATTTTTTCCATTTAATTACAGTTTGAAAATAGCATTACAAAACATTTAAAATGTGAATACTTTTTATTCACGTATTCTGTTAATAGTAATATTTTTCTTTTTAAAATGTTTTACTTAAAGGATATTTTATATGTCACAAAATGTAGTGGTAAATGTGCATTTTACACATCGAGACTGCATCTTATTTAGCAAAACCCCTTATCTCCAAAATTGATTCAAACATACTAGATTACTTTTTGCATAATGAGGTATTTAAAGTTCACAAGAAGGAAAAGTATTATACTTTGAAATGTAACATATAATGCCATCACTAAGCCAACCTAAACTCATTGTTCTGTCATACATTAATAATGCAGTGAATCTGTCCACCGCTGCCATAAAATACCAGCAGGACACTAAGCTCTGCAGTTTCAGGGGGACGAATAGTAAAAATATAATGTAATATCCAGTTTAAATGGCTGTAATTGCCTTCCTCATTGCCACTCAACCCTCTGCAATACGCTGCTACATTCTCAATCTGCAATCATCATCAAGTTGTTGTGGGAGCGTATGTGTATGTGGTTTAGCAGTGGAGTAGGAAGAGGAGGAGAGAGGCGGGGCTTGTAAGAATATGAAAAACTGTCAATCAAAGTGCGGTATACAAGGCGGTGGCGGCGATGCGGTTGGGTGACAGTGGTTCTTTCATGTAAATCACAGGCATTAGGAATAAAAAGGCAGGCCTGTTGACTCGCACCACGCTGGGAATCGGTGGCCCAGCATGTGTTGCTCTGTCTGCGCCTCGCTCTCCCGTGGAACGCCTCTCCCATGGGCCCTAGCACTGCTCCCTGGGGTGCACTGCATATAATTACCCACAATCCACCCTGAAACAGCTCTCATTTACAGTAATCAACAGTCTGCACTTCAAAGGATCTTGGCTCGTTCTTTGTCTGACGCCACGCTATCACAAATTATTATTATTATTGCCACTGAGTTACCTATATAAAGATGAGAATACTGAGGGACCCCTTCTCGTGTTTGGAGTCTATTAGGGTCTGATGAGGGCAAAGACGCTACGCTTTATTCAACTTCAAAAGCATGATTAGTTCAATCCGAGGGTCGAAAACGCGTAATTGTATACACGGATACTCTGGGAAGCATCTACATTTACATGACTAACGAATTCAAGCAAAAGAGTGCGCGATCATTTGATCATTTGGCAGACGTGATGGTGGTCTCCGAGATAATGGTCGTTATCATAAACCGGGAACCATCATTAGGCTTGATCTCAGATAATGGTCAGTGCAGAAAAGCCATTTTACACAAAGCAAAGACGTTCCCCATTAAAGACATATTAAGTGAATTAACTGGCGTCGTGAGTGAGAAACACGGTGTATTGCCCGGGAACATAATGTGGTTATAATGTGAAGCGATTTCTCCAGACTGCAGACAAGTCCGTTAGTTTGCATTCATAACAATTGGCCTTCACCCAGAAAGAGCTCAGCCCGCCAGCAAAAGAAAATATTTTTCGTACTTAAAAAATAACATTAAAACATAGAGAATGTTTGATTGTAACAGGGTTCATTCAGTGCTGCCATGTGCTCTTGTGACACTGTGAAAATGAATTCTTGATTGGCTATATTGTTCAGATGATGTCCAGTTCAATGTCTATTTGTGTGTGGTCTCAACGGTTCATACAAACGCGGTTCAATCTGATTACAATTTTGGTCTCTTGAATGAACCGAAAATGTCTTTGTCCTTTTGAGGTGCTGTGAGATCGTTATGTTGTACATATAATTAACGTTCTAGTTTCTGTAAGTGTAAAATTGGGCTAATTGTACTAACTCATTTTATGCATGTATGGTTTACTATATTAATCAAATTATATGGGGCATAAAGTACTCTTATTAACCGGCAAACAGGCTAAAAAGGCTACAAAGTGTGATGTAGAATATTAATGGAGCAGCCGCTTACACGTGCAGTAGTGCTTAAAAGCATATTGAAATAGATAATACTGACGAGTGTAATTTTAAAATTCTTTCCATTTACCTTTGGGCCAAACGGCTGGTGCGTTTCCGTGGAGACCACCTTCAGACATGACACAGGGCTCTCTGGTGGGAAAGGGCTGCCTCTGACCCTCTGGCACTGCTGGGCTCATCATTGCCGCTCCATTAGGGACGCTGGAGCCGGCCGCACCACATTACTCCTACCCCTCACTGCTGGCAGGTCCCCTAGTGGCCAGGTCATGTCATGGCATGGATGCCCTGTGAGTGAGCTTGTAGCAGGTCTGCCCTTGACATGCCCCCCTCCCTCCGTACGGCCCCCTCCCTCACTGGAGAAGGGAGAGCAGACCGTCCGGATGGGGCACTGGGGGTGCCAGCTGGTGCCAGCTGCGAAGGGAGATATCCAAGGTGGCGGACACCTGTCCTAACTCTCGCCCCCCAGCTCCCACAATGCATCTGGTGCGGCCCGGCAGACCCATCGTGGGGAAATGAGGCGCTAACCTTGAGGAGAAATGCTCCCAGCGTCGCATTAAGAGAGGCCCTAATTGCTGAGCGCTAGCACTGCCAAATGACATTAGGAAGTGCTGTCGTTTACTTTAACATAATGGCTCAGCGTGTTTTTTGGCCAAACTTCCTTCGCCTCTCTGAGGTGTGTCGCCGCGGTGACCATTCTGGCCCTGTCACAACCAATGGCTGGACAGTTAAAGAAGATACTGCTTCTCGAGGGCCCTAATTGTAAAGACATCAGAGAATTGGGCATTCATATAGAATTAAGCTCTACAGTGGGACAAAACAAGACAACTCAACTGAATGCACCGTTCCATGTAAATGGCCGTCATTTGAGAAATAGCAAGTGCATTAAGCGTACAAGGCGCCTGAGTTATTGTATTATTTATTCCCTTTCTTATTGGGCCACGGCTTGTATGGGTTTGTCATTTCAAAGAAACACTAACACAGTCCACTCAGTGTGATTAAAAGAAACAGGCATGCTCATTACATTATGCATACTGTAATAAGAATAGCCCTGACCGGTCTGTAGCCGTATAGAGGCTCCACTGAGAATGATCACATGCTTTGCCGCTGCACTAGATTTTGGGGCGCCCATTAGCAGAACAAAAATCACCTTTGATTTAATGAAAGGTCCTCATTTGCTTACCGGCTCTCCTCACTTACGGGCACATGGTTAAATTAAGCCCGCACCCTCCCAGCCCCCATATCTCTGTCCGTATATTGGAAGGAGAGCGCGTCCCCTCTTCTGCAGTATAATGCCGTGATGAGTCTATGATCTGGTGTTTCAAGTCTGCGGAAGTGTCAGAAATCCACTGCAAGGTGCTTCTAATTGCAGATACACCTCAGCACTTGAAAGTAATGAATGTGAGCATGGCCAAACCTCTAAGGATCAAACGCTAGTAATACATCATCAGTTCTGAAAAGGGTAATTCGTTTCCCTTCGCCAAGCAAAATATTAGAAGTTCAGATAGGGGGTTTTATTATTAATTTATTCTTCCCCCAATACATGATTTTGTAATTGAAGTGCTATGAATAAAGTAACCCATATATCTTAGCGAGCCACTGTGCATCCGCGGACTAGACGTGGGATTTGAGAGTGTAAATATTGTCTGTAGCAGAGGATGATTCTTCCTCAAATAGACTATGGTGATGTGTTTGATTGGATTTTGAGCCATGTATTTCCCAAGACCATAACAAATCAGGCTTTATTGTGCCTCGTCTTAGATCTATAGTGATACTTGCTCCGGCTTACTCACTGATTTGGTTTGGAGTTTGGTCTCTTACATTGACAATTTGGTTGTAACTGCTCATTTGTACAGAACGGTTTTGCACTGTTAAGGGTATTAGATGGATTTGTTACAATCCTGTCATAGTTAGTGTTTAAAGAGGTGGTTTATTCAAAGGTTGAATGACTTTGTCTTTGAAACAAGAAAAAGTTGCAAATAAGCAGTAATTATTATTACATTGGACTTGGTTTTGAGTGAGCGTAGAAACATCTTGACTCAAATGTGAACCTGAATAAATAACATGAAAAACACTAAACACTAATATTAAATATGTTTTGAGACAACTTGTTGAGCCCTTAGATGGCCTGCAAAATCATTAAGAACCTACTTTTCATAAAGAATAAGCATTAAAACCTTTTAGTATATCAATATGTAAATAAATAAAGGTAGTGTAATTCAACCAAATGACTGAGAATGCAACATTATAGGATTTTTAAAAAATATTCTCTAACGCTTTGTAAGTAAGTACGTAAATAATCTTCATTTATGTAGCGCCTTGAGATTCAACTAAGACTCTGAAAGGCGTGGAGGTGGAATCGGCTATCCACTGGTGTCTAGTGTTTTACAAAGGCTCTGATTTCTAATTGGTTGAAATCCTGCACCCTGGAGAGACCTGAGAAGTAAAAATAAAGCCTGCAATTTTGAGTAGAACTTTTCATTGAGTTGTCATTGCATATTTTCATCCAACATTTGTTTTTCTTTCCACTATTACTAAATGCAAAACAAATGTGGCTCTCAAATTATATCAGGACATTGCGTTCGGGGGAAAAGCAGACATGTGACCTATCAAAAGTTTTTAGGAGTGCTGTAAAGTGTAAACGTGTAGCATGTTATTCCTGCTGCATGCTTCACCTGATCCCACTGATAGCAGCACCTCCAGCACGCTGAGGTAATCACGCCACTGGGACTCCGTCTAAACAAGTGCTGGAGCTTCAGTGGAGGACGGCCTCTTAGCGCGCCTTGACCTCCGCGTCCACTGAGCTGTTGACCCCAGGAGCAGCAGGGTAAGAAGTTCAAAACCCAGCTGTCCAGACCCCAGGACACTTCCCCTGCCGCCTGCAGGGGACCCCTCGCTCTTCTGCTCTGGACACAAACCCCTTTGCAAAAATTAAAGCCAACTTAAACTGACATTATAGCCATGTGTCTTTACTGAGTGGAGTTTGCATGTTCTCCCTGTGTCTGCGTAGGTTTCCTCCGGGTACTCCGGATTCCCCTACCACTAAAAATATGTACAATACAGTAGGTCTGGCATGCGCCTCCTGTTCGGCGACCCCACTCCTGTCTCTGTGTGGAGTGAGAGGACAAGTGCCCAAAAAATAACAATTGTAAACCGCTTTGTGACTCTGGTCTGTGAAAGGCGGTATATAAATAAAGCTTACTTACTTACTGATGCTTTTGTTTCAGTACAGACTATTGATTGTAATGTGCGGGAATCAATGTCATCATTTTGTAAATGGTTAAAGAAAGTAGGACAAAACAGTAGAATATTATAAAACATGTTTTACTTAAAGTAAACATACAAATGTCCGTGCTGCCCTTTCTATTCCCAGGGCTAGGGTTAGAATCATAATTGAATCATTTCAAACAAGTTTTCAAGTAACAACAGGTAAGTAAGTTAATAACTCTGAGATGAAAACTGAGAATAGAGCAGATAATCTAGAAATGTACATTTATGAAGTCCCTGTTTAAGGAAGCATTAAAATATGTATACTATGTTGATAATAATCATTTTAATTTACACATTCCAACAAAATGATTTGTGATTCTGTCGGACTGTCTTCCTAATAGTCTCAGTGAAAAGATGCACTTTCACATGCAGCCTTTTACAATCTACATTATAAAAGGTTTTAATTCATGTAACACACAAAGGCAGGTGTAGTTTGTTTGTTTTTATCAAGTATTGTTTAAAAAGTGTTAGTATAGTATTGTTTTCACAACAATACATTACTGATAATGTCCTAAATCAAATTAAAATATGACGAACCAGTTCAGCTAACTTAAATGAAAGCGTTCCAACTTTTTTACTGTGCAGGAGGCTGTGGCTCAGAGTCCTGGTTGCTTGTGTGCTAGTGGGATGTAATTTACGGCATGCCTGGTGCTTGAATACGTGAGTGCTTACCAACCTTGGTGCAGGGAGCGCTGTAGCGTTAGCTTGTGGCATCTGCTCGCGCGGCCACCGAGGGAAAGGCCTATAACAATGTGCCATTCACGGGCCAGATGATGTCCAACTGCGAAGAGGAGTTTGGACAGGAAGGAGAGGACAAGGGCAAAAGAGACAGCCTGCACGCTTGATGGACTTTACAAGAGCGCTGAGGAGATTCAACTAAGACTCTGAAAATATGATTCTTTAGATTGTTAAATTTTGTATAGTATCAATGTGTTCTATAGGGTTGATTCTTAGCTGTGATAGAATCTGCTGCAAAGGTAATAGGGTTTATGATAAACTGCTGGGCTTTGGCAATAACTTTAATGACTTCCCTGTCAGAAACAAAAAAAATCTGTCCAACTTATTTCGCTCTACTCAGTTTTACGTCTCACGACTATACTGTAACTCGCACATCCACTGTGATTGCAAAAGTATAGGTTGATTTGTGGGAAAATGTGGGAGAAGTCAACGTTGTACTGTTTCTCCAGGGGGCTTAAACATTGTTTTCTAGTCAGTATAGAACGTATTTGCTGTCAAGCTTGGAAACAAAATCATACACGATTATTGGTGGCGCCCATGGCAACTTCCAGAATATATAGCATCGGTAGTGGATTATCAATCAAGTTTGATAATTGGCAGCTTTGGACTTTGACACTGACATTCTGTATTATTTCATCCCGTCCCCTAGTGCTTTGCAAAACTCCATCTGTGATTTTTACCCTGAGCCCAACCCTGTGACTCAATGACATTCTACAAGTGCAGCATATTTGAGAGGGAAAACAAATTGTGTAAAAATAACAAAAAAGGGGGGCGCAATACAAATCTTGGGTCAATTATATTAATCATACACTTAACTTCTGTATGCAATATTTTATCAACAAATAAAGTCATGTAAATCCATGCATTTTAATTGCAGTACAACCAGTACATAAACATGCATTCTTACCGTGGCCTTGCATCACCACTAACTCGCTTGATGCTTGTTTCTAAGTTGGTTTTCATTCTCCTTTATGGCACAGTATCTATCGCTGATGAGATTGTATTTCCCTGAGCAGGTGATGCCACATAGCAAAAGTTTTGTAATGCTGCTTTAGGAAAATATATTATTTCTACCTGGGTTTAAAACATGATTTACAAACCCAGAATCAGAATCTTGGACCCATGTGGTGACCTAGATCTTCCTTGTAAAACCTCTGCGGTCTTTCATGGCATCTGGAAATTTGTGGAAACCAATTACAACCATGGTAGTGTATTTAATTTCTCATTGAAAGAATAAGACACCAACAAACCAAAAAGGCTGTTTCGTGTACAAATGTACTTTAGCAGAGCTTTTTGGGGTAAGCACATTTATAAATGTAAAGAGGTGTCTCACTAAAGATTTGTCAAATACCAATAATCTATATCGATACATTACATCCATAGGTAGGGAAAATATGACTATGATACTCTTTTCTGTTGTCTCTGATTTAGATTATTCTTGTTGCTGGTGGATTCCATGTCATTGTTTATGCAAGTGTGTGTTGTGCTGTTTGAAAGTGTCAATACCATGTGTAACGCACTACGGGGCTAAGGGTCTGACCGTTTGTAGGGTAAGCATCAGAAGAAGGAACGATAAGGAGCCCAGGAGTGTGAATAAAACACATACACAGTTAATAGCTTTTTTGGGAAAATAATATGTATTAATGTTGATATATATATATTGTTATATGTGATCAAAAGGTTGTATAATAATAATAATAATAATGAAAATATAGTCAGCAGACACACGCACACATGTACCAACCAAAGCAAAATTCAAACCAAAGTGTCCCTTTCAAAGAGAGTAAAGTAAATAAATTATATTGTTCACAGTTCTGTCAAGGTAAGTTCAGTCAAAGTAAGTTCAGTTCAGGTAAGTGTTATTGTTCCAATGCATTTGTAATCCGTGTGGAATGCGTATTGTAATCCAAGTTATCGAGTTCCAGAGTGGTGAATCAAGTTGAAACAATTGTTCCTACCACGATGATGCGGTGGGTGACAGGTTCGGGGTCGTTAGCTCGCCATCCAGTGGTTACATTCAGTAAAGCAGTGCAGTTCAGTCAGTGGAGGTGGGGGAAAAAAAACCTGACCGTTGAGTGGAAGATTAGGTGCAAGAATCAGGGTGATGGTTGCATGATTGAATCCAGAATCCAAAAGGGTTGTTTCAGCAAGAAGCCGGCAGTGTAGACAACGCTGGAGGAGCATCTGTCAAACTGGATATGTTGTTGCGGTACTTAAGGGAAGTTGTTCCAAATTAAAACCGGAAGTGGTCATGTGACATGGGTTACACATTCCCCCCCTTACCCCATGTCCGTCCTCGGACATGGCCCAGGCTGGCAACGGATGGTTGACTGCCAGGGGTCCAGAGATGGAACATAATCCTCTTCCCCCTGAACGGCAAAAGTAAAAGCTGTGCTCAATCCATGGAGCAGAGTTTGAATGCTCTTTAGCAAAGGATGGCCCAGCTTGGAATACTGCAATCGCTCGGGTGGGTTTCGGGTGCGGCCTGAACGGCGGATATCCCGTTCGGGCTCGGGATTTGGCAGTTCGAAGGTAACATGTAAGTCAGGTACGGGATCCATGCTGAGACGATCTGGGGATGCAGAGAGTGTGCCATCGTCCACAAGTAAGTCATCAGCAAGGTCAATTCTTTGAGGTTCCAAAAATTCGGGGTCATCATTGCCGTCAGCCAAGATTTCTTCAGCAACTGGCATACCACTTCCGTCCACAAGCTCTTCCACTTCAGATTCAGGGGAATCTTGAGGGACCAAGCATGGCAGAGGAGCAGGGATCACAGGTAATACCGGCGAAGCAGCAGGAGCTGGCGGCTGGGCAACAGGTAAGTCATATAGATTAGTAAACTTCACAGGTTCGAATGATAAGGGAACATACACAGGCAAAATCGTCATTTGATTCTTCAGCAGGGGCTGGAAGAATGGATGTCAACGGAGGCGGCGCAGGAGATCTTTTCTTCACAGGTGAGCTTTCAACTCGAGAAGGTAGATACCCACAGGCCAGAAGAAGATCTCGATGTAGAGTGCGAAGGGGTTTCTCTTTCCCCTCGGGTCTCACAGTATATACAGGGAGATCGTCGGCCTTCTTCACCACAATGTATACATCAGCCTCCCACTTGTCAGCCAGTTTGTGTTTGCCTCTCAACCGTATGTTCCTCACCAGAACTCTGTCTCCAATGTTTAATTCCGACGCTGTAACATGTCTGTCAAATCGGACTTTGTTTCTTTCCATCAATTTGTGTGAATTCTCCATGGCCAGTTTGTAGCTGTCTTCCAAGTGAGACTTCAGCTTCTGGACATATTGCAAATGAGAATTAGATTTGTCTTCATTGAGTGGCAGTCCAAAAGCAAGATCTACTGGAAGTCTTGGCTGGCGGCCAAACATAAGTTCGTACGGCGAAAAGCCTGTAGAATCGTTCTTTGTGCAGTTATAAGCATGCACTAGGGGTTTGACGTGATCCTTCCAATGAGCTTTCTCTTGTTCTGTGAGCGTTCCAAGCATATTCAACAGTGTTCTGTTGAATCGCTCCACCGGATTTCCTCTTGGGTGATAGGGCGTTGTTCTTATTTTGTGTATGCCAGCCATTTCACATAGTTCCTTGATGGTGCGGGATTCAAAGTCCCTGCCCTGGTCGCTGTGTAGTTTTTCCGGTATCCCGTAGTGCACCAGAAAGTTGTCCCAGAGACACTTGGCGACAGTCCTGGCCTTCTGATTGGGAGTGGGAACAGCGACCGCGTACTTAGTGAAATTATCGGTCATGACAAGAATATCTTTGGTCCTGCCGTCTGGCTCCACAGATAAAAAGTCCATGCAGACCAGCTCAAGGGGACGCGACGTCTGGATATTCATGAGGGGTGCTGCGTGTTCAGGCAGGGACTTTCGTCTAACACATCGTTCGCAGGTCTTTACCTTGGTGACCACATCAACTGACATCCGCGGCCAGTAGAAGCGGGACCTGACAAGATCAAGAGTTCTTTCAATCCCCATGTGACCCATCTGATTGTGGAGTTGGTACAACACCTCAGCTCTGCACTCCTCTGGCAACACTAGTTGGAACGTGTGCTCACCTCCCACCTGTCTTCTTCTGACGAGAAGGTTGTTCTGGAGCTCCAACCTATTAACTTCTCTCAGTAGTAACGGGAGGTCAGGGAGATGATCTCTCAGCTGTGGCGGCGGTGATACTCCATGCTCAAGATGTGCAATTACATGCTGGATAGTGGGATCTGCACGCTGTTTGTTGGAAATGTCAGCAGGTGAAAGACGAGGGTGTACTGATGGGATGAACTGAGTGTCATCCACAAAACTGTCGGGGATACTATCAGCATGCACAGACATTGACAGAATGAGAGCATGAATGGGATCAGTGCTTGGACTGTTCATGAAATGCCGGTCAGAGATGGCTCTAATCGTTTGTTGGTCGATATATGCATACTCTGGATCTTTGAGATGCTGCTGGGCAAATTTCAGAACTCTCTCGCGTTCCTTGCGAGATATAGGGTCATCAGACAGCTCACCATGTGGACGCCGTGACAGGCCGTCAGCATCTGCATTCTGCTTGCCCGATCGGTAGACAATCTTGAAATCGAATGTTGACAAGGCAGATAGCCACCTGTAGCTGGTGGCGTCAAGTTTGGCAGATGTCAAAAGGTAAGTAAGGGGGTTGCTGTCTGTGACAATAGTGAACTGGGCACCATAAAGATAATCTGAAAACTTTTCAGTAACTGCCCACTTAAGAGCGAGAAACTCCAGCTAATTTGTGGGCTGGATACTTTGCCTCGCTCCGGGAGAGGCCCCGACTGGCATAACACACAACTCTGTTTTTTCCATCCTGCTCTTGGTAAAGTACCGCACCAAGGCCTGTTGTACTGGCATCAGTGTGCAGGGTGTATGGTTGTTGGGGATTAGCAAAAGCGAGGACAGGAGCAGAGGCAAGTTTTGAAATGATGTTGTCAAAAGCATTTTGGCATTCTTGTGTCCACCGT